CTGCTAATGTTTATCTTTAAAAATGTCTAATTTTTAGTATAATCTATACTATACACTAAATTTGGTTATAAATAAATTTCTTAATAATATCACTGCAGATTTTCAATGACACATGAAAATGAATACATAATATTACAAAAGATGTGAGCTTTCAAAAGTACAAGATTTTGCTTACTATTCAAAATATAAGTGTTTCTTCAAAATTTTAAATTTATTTTTTCTAGAACATATTTAGAAACACTATCCTTTATAAAAAAATATATAAATTTTATGTATTAATTAAATTTCACATATGAATATAGGTTTTTGACATTTTTGACAGTGAGGTTTTTGACGTGACGGTTTAAACCATGGTTTAAACTGTCAAAAACCTGCCAACCCTGCTTTTAATAAGGGTTGTGACAGAATAAGAGAATCTAGACAAATAATAAAAAAAAACGTGACTTTTATCAGCCTGAAAAAAAATGAGGGAATTTAATTAAAATACTAAGTCCACGAAAATTAAGTTTTCAGTGACTAGAAGTATAATATTTTTTTACAAAAAAATATGTCCAGCAATATTTTCAACTTTAATAGCTAGTAAAAGTGTTTGATTACATATATTTTATGTGTGAGAATAAAGCATAACTAAAAAATAAATGATAAAATTTATACCACCGGCTATAAAATTCAGGAAAATTCAATACATTTTGTCCAGTGATTTTTCTATGAATGTTGTTGGCCACCCTGTTAATATTTTAAGAAATCAATATAGAAATATTTGTAATGTTTTAACAGGTTAACGAAAGTTCTATCAATGGATTGTGAAATGGTTGGAACTGGACCTGATGGAAAGGACTCAATTCTTGCCAGAGTTTCTATTGTAAATGCTTATGGACAATGTGTTTATGATGAATTTGTAAAGCCTAAAGAGAAAGTCACTGATTATCGTACACATATAAGTGGTGTTAGGCCTTCAGACTTAAGAAAAGGTAACTAAAATGTTTCTGTAATAGATGATTATATTCCAATTTTTTGACCAAGGAATTTTCCTGAAATTTTATTAATTTCCTATGAATTATTTAAGGATTTTGTCGATTTTTCTATAAAAATATTTTCAATATTTGTGTTAATCAATAAGGTTTTTTTTTTCTGGTTTTATGTCAGATAATTCCAGGGAGTAATGTGTTTCTGAATATTGTAAAATAAATTGAAGTTTACAGTTGTGATCGATGATCTGGTTTTATGTATCAAGCTATGAAGTAGTTTCATTTAATATTAAGTTTTTTTTTTTTCTATCTATCACTTTGCTTAACATTTTAGCAATTCGAAATCATATATTTTTTTAAAAGTTATGTATCAAAGTATAAAGTAACTACTGCTTTATATTAACTATTGTATTTGTTATATGTATTACCATTCCTTTTTTTCTATAATTAAAGCACTTTATATTTGAAAAAAAAAAAGTATTTGCTTTTGAAACTTGCTAAATCCTCACTGTTTTTAAAGAATTTATAATAGTATTTTCTATTAATAGAAGTTGTTAGATATTAGCTTGTTTGGAAAGTAAATGCGACCAGTGCATTATACTGACACCATTTTTCGCTCTCAAGATGTTGGTCTCAAAATTGTGGAGTCTAAATCTTCATGACTTCATTTACTGTTTAGTAGCGCTTGCCTTTGTATTTTTGTGTAATATTTTGTTGGTATTAATGTTTAAGTAAATATTTTTATTGATGATTTAACAATTACTAACTTAATAAAAATATTATCAATTATTATAAATGATTAGCTTCCTATATAATCAAATTTATTTCTGCATGTAAAATTTTCTGTATTATTCTCCATTATTCTTATTCTTTGCTCTTATCCATTTATATTACAAAAATCCATTTATTTATTAGACATTTATTTATTCTTTAATATAATTAAAACCTACTAATTTCGATTGAAAAATAAAAATGTCAAAGTTAGTAAAAGTATTCATTTTTATTCTGTTTAATCGTTATTAGTTATTTGATATCTTTAGAAGGATATTTTAATTTTATATTTTTAATGAATTTATAAAATTAATATTTTATATTGTGTTTTATTTATATATTGATTGAATACTTTAATGTTTTATGTATTCATATTAAGCATTAATATTAGCAGGCGTGTATCAATGACTTGCTTTTTATGTTACTAAATATAACTTTGAATGTTAATCTTTAATATTTCCTGTAATCTTTTGTGTTCATTTTTGAATATATTATTATTGGAAATTTTGTGCCAGCTACTAATAATTCAAATTTAATAATAATTATTAAAAAAAAGTCAGTCAGTTTATTTAGTATTTTAAAAATTCATATTTTAACTAACNAATATTTCCTGTAATCTTTTGTGTTCATTTTTGAATATATTATTATTGGAAATTTTGTGCCAGCTACTAATAATTCAAATTTAATAATAATTATAAAAAAAAGTCAGTCAGTTTATCATTACAAGTATTTTAAAAATTCATATTTTAACTAACTTATCTTAGATAACTAAGTTATCTTAACTTAGGTTTGTGGAAGTATAGCTGCAAATTTTGCTGGAGAAAAAGAATTGGAAGATTTCTCAATTTTGAATAATTCTTACAAACACTCAAAAATTATTCAAATTTCCAAATTTTTTAAAAAAAATTTTAAATATCAAATTTTTTTTGCAATTTCTATTACATTTTTTCTTCTTTAATATAACTTTCAAAAGGGCTAATATTTTATGTAAAAAGTTCTGTATAAATATTTTCACTCTAAAGTTCAATTGTAAATTGTACATGACATTTTTAGTCTGTTGAAATTTTGTAAATATTTTTAATTGTTTAGCTTCAATTGTTAGCACATTTTCATTCAGTTTAATTTTGCAAATATTTTCACGCAGACTGCTTTAATTTAAATTTAATCAAGCCTTAGTCTTATGAATACATCTTTGAAGCGACAGATTTTAAATGCTCTATTACGATAAGTGCAGTTTTGTTGTGTGTATGTAATAATATATGATTTTTATAAAATTTCAATGACGTCAGATTCTGGGTTAATTCACAATGAAAAGTTCCTAACGCCTGCAAAATTACTCTTCTATTACTGTACAATTTTTCTTCTATGTTCTAAATTGAACCCTACAAAAAATGTCCCTTTTTTTGAATCTCCAATGTTGTCAGCTATGTACTAGTTTCTTGTTACATCAGAATCATTTGTGCTAGCGTCCTAATATTTGAACTGTGAATATATCCGGCAATTTTACACTTTGATCCTTAAGTTTAATTAGTTCTTTTTGGAGGGATGCGCTTAGCATTACCCAATGTTGCAAATTAAACTACAGACTATTCTGTTTCCCCCCAGTTATTTAAAAGAAAAGATTAGTAATGTTTAGTTGCTTATAGCTTTATATAATCAAAAATTTATTACATTGGGAGTTTATTGCACATTCTTCAGTAATTATTTTTTTTATTATGTCTTGTGACATTCATTAAGTAAAAAAAAATGGATGGTATTTTAGGGACAATTATTATTATGAAAACTATATCATTTGCCAATTTCATTTACAATTAAACTTTAGAAATACATTCAAAAGTTTAATTGGAATTATTCTTTTAAATAAGTTTTCGAAGTTATTCCAAAAACATACTTTCTAAATCTTATAAAATTATTAAGAAAGGTAACAAGAAATTTATATTTTAAAATTCTTAAATGTGTTAGTGTAAAGCGCTAGTCTCATGTATGATTATGTAGTGTTAATTATTTACTATTTCTTAATTATTTACCATTTTTCAAAGAATAAGTATTCGACTAATATTATGTTAATGCTTTTTATCACTGTTATAGTTATGCAATTATATTTTTTGGGACTGTAACATTTATCTATATTTCTCAAATATTTTATTTTTGTTATTTAGAAACTGCACTTCAAATGAACAATATATAATAAGTTTTTATTCAAATATTTTTTTAGGAAAGGACTTGTTTGAAGTTCAAACAGATGTCTCAACCATGATTGAAGGTAGACGTATTGTTGGACATGACCTAAAACATGATTTTAATGTAAGATATCCTGAAATTTTAATTCAATTAAAATATCTATTAATAAAATCTTGTTTAAATAATTATACTTATTTAAGCTTTGATGTGCTTTCTATAGCTTAACTTTGTAAAATTTTTGTTTTAGCAAAATTAATAAAATTACTGATAGCATTCAAAAGTTTAAAAAAGTTTTTTGTGAACACAAATTAGTGAAATAATGGTAGAGCTTCACTTTTATTTAACTTTTTAATTGTTTTGCGCTGGGCTTGCTGCTTTAAATCAGTTTGATTTATAACAAATGGATTTTTTTTTAAAAATCCGTGCTGTTTTTTTTTCTCTAAAAAGTAAAAAGTTTTCATTTTTGCGTAAAATTTTATATAACATGAATTTATTAAATCATTTATTTAAAATAAAGTTTGTGTCTATAAAATAATATATATTTTTTGAGGGAAAGGGAAGATAATTTCAAAATGCATAAGTTCAGTAGCCTCCTCCATGTATTTATTCTATTTAATAGCATCAGAATTGTTCTTTACATTTTTTATTATTGTCATAATGTTATCAAAATTCCTCTTCACATTGTACAAAAAATAAATAAATAAATGAAAGAGTCAAAACATGTTCTTTTTTAACAACCAAGTGATATTAGTACTTTCATTTCCTATCTCATTTGATCACTTGACATTCTAGAGGTAAAAAAATTAAATAAATATTAAAAGAAAAGGGCTTTTAACTAATCTCTAAGCTGAAATATTCTAGTCATTTGATATCATTAGTTATGAAATTTATAGCTAGGCTAGATCCTTTATATATCTTTTTAATGAAATGTATTGTATTTCAAGCATCTCCCATAGAATCATGAAACGCATAATTGAAATTTTTTTTTTTTTAAGCAATAGTAGAAAATGCTCGTAAAATGTTGCCTATTTCTGCCTCTTTGAGAAGCTTCATGGTCTCCCCAAAATTTTTTCTTCAACACAAAGTCTACAGAAAAAGTTCTGTGCCTCCCAAAACTAGTCGCTATATAGAGGTGGTCTTTCCTGGAGGTTATAAATCAGTTTCTAAACTAAGAACAATGGCGCATAATTTTCCACAAAAATATAAATATTTGTAACTATTTATTATTTAAAAATATAATGATTTAGAGCATTTTAGAAGTATTCTTATTAGACTTAATTTAAAATACATTTATTTATTTTTATAGCTATAAAATAGGTTAGCAAACAGTCTGAAATTTTTATGCACTTTTTTTGGAAATAAAACAAAATACTTATTGTTTATATAACTATTAATAATACTTAAATTATTTTAATAACTATAATATATATTATAATATATATTATAATAACTATTAACGATACTTATTTATATTATTATTTGTGAAATATTTATTCACTATTTTATCATTATTTTAAAATTTTTGTCTTATTTTTTGTATTTAGGTCTTATTCATCAGCCACCCACGCTCTTTAATCAGAGACACATCTAAGTATAAGCCTTTCCGAGAAATTAGTGGAGGGAAGACCCCATCATTAAGGAAATTGACTTCAATGATTCTTGGATGTAACATTCAAAGTGGAGAACATAGTTCAGTAAGTAACAGAGTGCCTTTATTTAGCTATTACAAAAAAGTACAACAGGACAAATTTATATTCTTATGTTTTATTTTATTGATCTACCCACCATTGGAAATTGAATATTTTTTAAATAAAAAGCATACAATGTAAATTCTTTCCTGATTGAAAACTTTATTCACTTCAGAAATAAGCAACCAAGAAATAATAGTCATCATGTTTCAAGCCCTTCAAAAATTGCTGCCCATCTTCAAGACTTGCTAGATGAGAATGTAAAGAAACAAAAATGATTTGAAATTAAAAACATTAAGTTCCCAACGAAAAATAAAGGTGAGAAACGAAACTAGAAAAACCACAGAAGCAGAGATAAAAAGAAGATGAAAAACAGAGCAGGAAAAATCTAATTGGTCAAAAGGCAAATCCGGGTAAAAAATGCATTTTTAAACGTTATGGGTAGAAACAAATGGGAATCAGCATTTAAGTGGAAACAAGATTCCAAGGCATCAAGATGAACTGATGTAACTGGGGTGGAAATAATTTTAGCATTTTCGAAATGGAATTTATGTTTAAGATTCCAACAAAGTAAAGCAATTTATGAATTATTGATAACGAACATATCTGTCATGTTTCTGAAGTCTAAATTTTTATGACAGATTTATAGTGGATTGATTGCGCTACAAGCAAAGTGTTAATGAAAAGAACTAAGGATTTGGACTACAGTAGATTAATGCAAATTTATAGGGTGGATACTTCACCTTCTTATTAATAGTTCTTGATTACTTTTCCAAAAATCTACAAGCATTTTGGTCCTAAGTTTTTATTACCTCCTGTAAATAAATAAAATTTTGTATTGCAATTTATTTTAATTTTACATAGCATAATATTGAAAATGATTTATGATAATATTGTATTATGTCTGATACTCCTCATTAATTAGGTGATTGTTTATTAATTTGTTTAGGTAGAAGATGCTCAAGCTGCTATGTTGCTTTATTTAAGGCATAAAAAAGACTGGGAACGCCAGATTAAAAATCTAAGGAAAAGGAAACCAGCGCAATAATGCAAAATGTATATGATGTCAATGAAATAAATATTTGTATATATTATACACAATTGTATTTTAGGATGTTTTATTTATATTTCTACTTCTCACTATTAAATATGTCACTATTCATGATATCTTCTTTACTTTGTCTTTGGTTTTTATGACATACATTAGTTGTCATTAAATATCATTATTTTAAGACAGGTATCCTTAATTTAATACTCAGTTTATGTTTTTTCATTCTAGAACTTTTTTTTTTGATGAAAATTCGTAAATTAAAAACTTAGTTGCCTGAAAAAAATGTCAACAAAGCATTTTTGTTTGAATGAGTTCTTATATTTTTTAATTATTTATTATTAATAAATTAGTTTAAATGTGTATAAATTCCTATATTATAACTTATTATTTAAATGAGATGGAAAGAAAAAAAAGAGTTTTTGAGCTCTACCCAATGTTTACACTGATAAACAAATTTCAAAATGTTGCGTTTATCTTAGTACCCTATACATTTTCGAAGACAAAATTTTCTAATTCTAAAATATGCAAACCATTTGTTTCTATCACCCGTCTCTTTTTAGGTATACTTCTTCAACCATTAATGTTTCACTAGAGCCAGTTACAGTGAGTACTCATGAAAATATCAGTAGCTAAGAAAACACTCACGTTGCATATTTACTCTATCGAAATTTCTAGTTCAAAATATAGCACATAAATCTATACGATTGAAAATACATCCTTAATCTAAGGTATACTTCATTATTGTACATCTTTAGTGTGCAAACAGTAAAGCTGGATCTCCACCGAGGGCAACGGCAACGGGAATCTTGTTGCCAAAGTTGCGCGCCGGCGCACAAACGCCGTTTCTCCATGTTGCCTTGTTGTCGTTGCTTTCAGTTCAAGAGTTGGAAACGAATCAACTTTTGTTGCCGTTGCCAACCCTAGTAGCCAATCAGATTCGTCGCTAGTTCCTGCTCCCAACGCTCGTGTTTTGATCTGTTTAACAGAGCACGTGAATAAAGCGAAGCAGCGGAATTTTATAATTTGTTTTCAATTTTATTATTAAGAAAAATGGAAGAGCAATTGATTCACTTTGCGCGAACAGCCCGTAGTTATATGAATATAGCAGTGCGGATTTTATCTGGGACATGTAAAAAAAAAAAAAAGATTGATCTTCATATTAAATTTAGCAAGAGATGAATTAAAACAAGAATAAAATACTATTTAGAATTGCGTAGTTGATTTTATTACATTTAGTATTAGTTCGCTATCAACAGGTTTGAGTGTCAATAAGAAAAAAATATATAGAATTTTGTTGCCACACGTGATGTAAACTTCTTAATCCTTTGAGTAACTTGAATGAATAAAATAGCCGTTATCTTTAAATAGGACATATTTTTCACCTACATTTTTTTTAAGGAATATGTCAGTATATTTGAAAACTTGTGTTCTAAGCAATTGGAATTCTCGTTCTTAGGCTTTCAAACATAACCTCATCCATTTTTTTTTGATGTAAGCAATTACGATTATTTTGCTGTAGAATGGAGTCTCTAACAATCAAATTATTAATTACTGTAGCAGTGTTTTCCTTTTATTTTTAAGCAATAAGAAAAATATCATAAAATTATTTACCTAATTTTTCTCCAGTGTTTTTATTCAAATCCATTTATTATTGGATTATCAAATATCAGTCTAACAAGACCCAAAGATGGATTTGAGGAGACAGTCTTTTTGAAAGGAGTAAGTTAAAATTTAAATAAATTTTTTAAGTTAAAATTTAAATATCTGCTTTGGCATTAAAAAAAAATTGAGCGATTCAGAAAATAAATTGCGTTTTTTTGTCGTCTGCAAAATATTTGATTATGTGAAGAGTAAATCGTATTGATTATGCAAGTATTTGGTTAAATCATCAATGGTTTGCAGCAGATAATCCAAAAAAAATGGTAGAAAAATGTAATTTGCATATCATTATGTTAAAAGAAAGAGAAACTGCAGAGAATGTGGAAAGAACTATCTTGCAAATATTGTTGAACCGAGCACTGTACTAACAAAAATTGAACTGTATATGATAATTTCATCTGTAAAACTATTGCGTAAGACAATGAGCTGATTTCGAATTTGTAAATAAAAATCAAAGATAAAGTAAATTCTACATTCAATATAATAATTATTGCATTTATCTTTATGGAATCATATTTAGAAAAAGATATTAAATTATGTAATGATTTGTTACCATTATGGAATTATTAAAAAGGTTCATATATCTTACATTCTATTCCTAGCATTTAAAATTTTTACCTATCTGATTTATAAAAACTTCATTACCCTATAAAAAAATCACAATGAAATAGAAAGTTCGTATTAGCTGAAATCTTTAATAATATGATAAAAACACAATCTTTCATTCAAGTAAATGTTGAGTTTAATAATAAAAAAATCTGTTTAAAATATGTAATATAATTTACAAAATAAAAAAAAATTAAGATAAGATGAAAAAATATATACAATGCATATTAAGAAATAAACTTTTTTCAAATTTGCTCTTTCCATTTTAATAAATAGAACTTTAGCGCTTTCAAACAAAACACGAATTATTAAATGAAACAGGAGATGATGTGATGCAACCGTATCGCGTGATAAGTCTCCTGAGCATGCGCGAGACAAGAAACAGAGTCGTTGCCAATTACCGGTATGAAAGACTTTGGCAACAGATAGGAAGCAACGCAGCAACAGATTTTCATCTACGTTGCCGTTACGATCGGTGGAGACCCAGGAAAAAAATGTTGACCTCACCCCCCCTCCAAAAAAAAAAAAACCTTTTGGAAATAATAATTTATTAAATACTAGAAAAAAAAACATCACTTTATTTAGTATTTAATCCATATAATTATTTAACAATTATCACTTTATTTATTATTTAATCCATATAATTATTTAACAATTATATAGATATATGTTCAATTTGATTTGGGCTGTTAAATAATTTAAAGTAATGAAATATTTAATCTTATAAAATGAGTTTTATTTAAATATTAGGATTAGTTTAAAATTCATGGAAAGAACTTTACGCACTTCATATTATTTAATCTTGGGAAACTTGTTAATTGATGCATTATATGTATAATAATTGTATTGAGTATATAATGTTTTATTTTGTACAGTGAAAAAAAAATTATAATATGCATTAAAACTTCTTTTCTCCAAGCTTCAAATTACACTTTGTAATATAATGAGTTTTTGTAAAAATATCAATTTGCATTCAAATAATTAGTAGCCTGAATCATATCGGTCATTAATGTAGTGCTAAAGTATCAGTTGTTAAAATAGTCTTTTTTGGCGCGATGCTCTTTTTCCTTGTTTTCTCTTCTAGAGACTTTTTTCTCCAGTGCTTTTTACTGTGGTTTTGGTACAAAACGTCACTCATTGCAAAGAAATTTATCAATTTTTAGTGTAATATGTGGTATAGTTGTTAAAAATTTGTAGTTATACCTAGTGCAAGCAAGTTCCATTAAGATTTATAACTAAACTTAAAACAATATTTCATTAAAATTAACAATGTTTAAACAGTATTACTTTGAAAGTACTAAAATTTAAATAGTATTCTATTCTATGGAAATCAAACAGTGTTCCATGAAAACTAATTTTTGTCAATATCTTAAAAACCTGACGTGATAGAGCAAAACGGTTTTCAGATTTGAAATCAGCATAACAAACTAACATATTAAAGGTAAACACCACATCAGATATCTGTGTTGGTGCCAATGAGAGCAAATTGAAATTATTTAAGACTATTTTATTTTAGGATAATACTTATAGGCAGTTCTTAGAGGAAGGCAAATGTAATCCTGTCTCACTAAACAAAAGACTGGTTATTGATGATTTTAATCTGTTTGCTCTTTCTGACCTCAAACCAAATTAAGTGAAGAAAAAATAACAAAAATACTGTTGATATCTGACAAATCAGGATGAAGGAAACTGAGATTTATTATTTTTTCCCCTTATAGAATTCAGGTATTTAAAATTTGATGAATAGTTTCTACTGTACCTGTGAAAGGAGGTTGATTGTTGTAACAACACGTTAGAATGTCCGAAATCCACCTAAAAGTATTATGTTACACATTATATTTGGGTTCTGGAAATGCAAGTAAATTAATAAGAAGTTATTTTAGAAAGGAAGCTTATTGCTGCAACTTAACACTTTATTCATTCAATCATTCTTTATTCATTCTTTATTAATTCATCTAAAAGTATTACTTTACATGCTAATCATGGTTCAGGGAATAAATAGCAGCAATAAATAAAAAGTCATCCCTGAAAAGAGGTTCATTGTTATAATTTCTTAAAAAGTTTGAATGACAGAAAATCATCTAAAAGCAATATACTCTAATCATCTTAGCATTATAATAATCTAAATAATACTATAATTAAAATGGGGTCAGGAGATGCAAAGAAACTCGAGATGGTGTCTCCAATCAAAAGTTAAATTTCTATTGCATCTTTTTTATTTATGAATGTGTTTTTTTTCCTTCCAAGAACTGTTAAATATGATATAAAATGTTAATTTATATCTGCACAAAAATTTAATTTTTGCAAGCACCGTGCTTCTCTGAATATAAAGACTATTTGCTCCAATCTGCTCAAAAAACCAAATTTATTTGTTCTAAAACCCATTTTTTCTGTTCCAATATAAGTATGCTGCTGTTCCACCTCTGAGTCAAATAAATTTTTCTCTCTAAGTTTTAATTAATTTTTTTTAACGGCAATTTAATTAAATACTTTTTTTTTTTTAACTGACCACTCGTTCTTCGGCTTGGAAGAGCCGGAAGTGCTGCTATCGGGAGCGCATCTGTGAACCTGTCACATGGGCGAGGAGTATTACCCACGCCACATTGACGCAGATACCCGTTCATAGAGTGGGTCACATTCACACAACAGAGAACCCGTAACCATTGGTTTTGCAGTCAGGCATGCTGACCGCTGGGCCACCTGACTGGCTTTTTATTTCCTACCCGATTAACACTCGGCATTCAGGTATCAGTAGGGCAGATTTGTTGGCCACTTTTTCAGGCGCACCATATTAGGTGGGTCAACGACAACGTTACCCCCACTGTAAGGGCAGGTAGTACCAGAGAATG